ACTGAGCCATGCCAGCCAGAGCGGGTTTCATATTTAAACATGGTTCTACTTAGGCTGGTTCAGGAACCACAGTTTGAAAAACACTGCCTAAACCCCAACAAATCTTGCTCAAGGTGGTACAAACCAACCAAGGGCAAGGCCAAGGTCAAGACTGACACTCCCTCCCTGTGCTGCATGGTGCCCCATTTCCCTTCCCAGAGGCTTCAGTCCAGGGTGTTTGGGTGGTGTGGTGAGCATCTGGTCCTCCAGCCCTGGGAACAGAGGGCAGCTCCTGTTCCCACCTACACGGCCACGCCTCCTACTACAGCGAATGCCCTAGCAAGTGTGGCAATGGGTCGAAGGCCCATCACCAATGGGGGAGATGCAAGGCTTCCCTCGGACACGCCACTTAGGACAGGCCTGCCCACTCAGAGCAGTGTCTCCACAGCCTTCCGTGGCCAGCCAGCTGTCCTTGCTCTATTTTCAGCTTGTCTCCAGGGGCTGTGAAGGACTTCTTCAGCACCCCTCCCAAGAGCCCAGGGACACGTGCGGTAACACTCAATGTCATCAGAAAATACGGGGCCACTGGCTGTGTCCCCACAGGCTCTTATGTGGGTCCTTCTCTCTGACGCCCTCTCTTCTCCTTTTCTCACCTGCTCTGTCATTGGCTGGCAAACAGTTCCAAAGACCCATGGCATGCAGGCCGACCATAATCAATTAAAATACGTCTGAGGTATACAGATTTCAGCATTAATAGGGAAGCCGCTTTTTCTCAGATGAAAAAGGAAAAGAGAACAGGCCTGCTCCCAGCAGTACTTCTCCTGGAGAATCCTGGCAGAACGCCACACACACCAGGCCTCTAATGAGTTATTTTCTAAAGCCATTCCCTCCCCTCATTACTACACCTACTTCACGTTAGCAATGGAGGCTGAGAGGAGAGCTAAGGCAAGGTGCCAACTCAGCGGGCCACGACCCTAAACACTGCATCCACCTGGCTACTTTTAAAGGCCCACTGACCCCAGGGAAACCTGCCCTCCGTCTTTCCCTGCCTCTCCTCTCTCTCACACCTTCTCTTTCCCCTGACAAGACCCCAAGATGATTTTCCCCAAAAGGTGCTCGAAATGGCCTAAGACAGAGGCTAAAATCAAGCAAAGGCTGCATCCCCCATCAGGCCAAGGGCCGTTCTCCCATCAATCAAATTCAATTTATGAATTACTTTACTTAGCAATGCTAGGTCTCCACTGCCCGTTCTAACCCATGGGCCTGAGGGTATCTCCTGAACGAGCCCCTCCACGCTGGTGTCTCACGCAGGCAGGCGGTACTGGTAGGAGCAGGGTGAGGTGGTTAAGACCGTCAGAGCCTGGATTGAAGGTTGGCAGTGATGCTCCCCCAACACCCTAGGTCATGGCTGTGTTTATGCACAGGACACGAGGGTGCACACTGGGGCCGATTGTGTCCAAAAGGGATTCAATCCAATTCAGTGAAAGGACAGGCAGCTTGGACACTGCAGGCCCCAGGAGGCCTCGTCACTATAAGTGCCCCTGGACATGACCAAATAACCCCACCACCGGGCTGCCAGAGCCACACTGTCCCTCAGGAGCCACTCCTCAGAATCCCCAATGTCCCTGGAATGACATTCTCTGGGCCCCAGTGACCACCTGGTGGTGGGGAATGAGGAAGCAGATGTAACTCCCTTCAATTTGCTGCTGTCGGCTCAAGTCCACCATGGCTCTAACTGAACTCATCATTTTCCCCCAGGAACTGGCTCCTTATACCAAATACCTTAAAACCCAAAGTCAAACCCAAGGTCAACCCAGTTCCCATCTCCCCTGCCATTCATCAGACACCGAGGCTCACCCAGTCTTTCTTCTAGCATCTCCCACCTCCCCTTCGTTTATTCCCTCTTGTCATTACTGTAGCTCAGCCCCTCAGAGCCTTACCTCTGCTTTTTACCAGAGAGTTTGCCTCGGTTTCCCGGGCACCAGCCCCTTTCCACAACTCCACTTCGCAGGCTGCTACCACGCTGTCTCATAAAGCATGGCTTTTATCACCTTTAACTGCTTTTTAATTAAGGTTCCCACCAAAGCAGACAGCAGGACGACTTAGGTGCATTCATTTATCCCTGGAAGGTGTTTGGGAGGGGGGGGGGGGGGGGGGGGGCGGAGTGAGCAGGGAAGCCAGAGGAGCCTGCAAGGCGCATGGAGGAATGGACTACCACTGTGGGCAGCTGGGCTGGACCCAGTGGGGCCCTGGCAGGCAGCCAGCAACCTGGCAGAACTGCCCACCTGCATCCCTCCTTGGCTGAGGGCTGCCCTTTAGAGCATCTCCAGACCCAGCAGGAGGATCTCTTCAGGCCTGGATGGAGGACACAGGAGAGGCTGTGGAGCTGTCCAGCAAGGCTGCAGTGAACTCTGGGTGGGCCATGGGCATGCCGGGCAGGGCAGCAGCAGCCACTCCCCGGATTCTCAGCGTCTGCGGGAGGAAGTCCTCACTCCCTGGGCCTGCCTTCCAGGTAGGGCTGTAGGATGCCCAGGTAAATGGGATGCCAGTGAACAATGGACAGTATAAGTTACCTCAAATGGTGCATTCATCTACTAAGAAGTTGTTCATTATATAGCTAAAATTCTACTTTAGCTGGACACTTTATTTGCCAAATCTGGCAACCCCACTTCAAGGCCCTCCTTGATCTGGCCTCAGTCCCTCTCTGATTTCTCTGAATCTGAAACCCTTTCCTCCATGCTAAGGGGCTCTTCACTGCACCTGGAAGCAGTCAGCCAACCCCCGAGCCCATGGGGGTGCTCAAGCTGGTTCCCTGTCGGGAGTAGCCCCTGGCTTCTCACACGTGTCTCCTCCTGCCCACCATCTCTGGTCTGATCTCTCTGTCACCTCTCTCTGCCCTCCCCGCTGACAGCAGGTCCTGCCTGCACCTTGGGTCATCTGCAAGCATCCGTCTTATTTTCCCAGTTAGATTGTAATGCTCACCCAGCACAGCACCATGACCAAGATCCCCCTGGCCCCACCAGCAAATGCCAGCCCTATGAAGGTGGAGACAGAACCCTCTCATCCACCCCTGGATCTCACCACCAAGAGCACTGGGCGCGTGTCGTGCAATAACTGAGTGAGTAGTACTTTAGGTCAGGGCTGGCTCGTGTCAAGAACATTGTCTAAAGCAGCCAAAGTCCTTGCCAGTAGCAGGAAAGGTGGTCAGAGTCTCCCAACTATCTGGTGGCTTTTCCACATTCACAGCCTTTCCTCTCAGTCCCTTTCCAGGTCTGGGGTTTGTCCTGCACCCTGCCCCCACCCACATACTCCAGGCCCCACTTGGGATTGGTCCCACCATCAGCCTCAACACAACAGGGCCTGTCCAGTGGACAGCGTCAGTTCTGCTCTGCCCTCCCCTCTCAAACCAAGTGCTCTGATGCAGATGTACTCGCCAGACATTTATATAACACTTGAAATTTGTAAGAGCTTTCCCATGAATTATTTTATTGGAACATCACTGTAATGTAGGCAAAGAATTATCTCTGTTGGACACTGAGTGGTTAAATGGCTGGCTTAAGTGATCACTGCTTTTGGAAGATTTGTAGTACTAATATTTAACTTTTCATTTGCAAACGTGGTTAAAATGTTTTTGCATCAGCGATGTAAACAGAATGTTTCATTTTCCAGTAGAATGCTTATTAAAAGGAATGCTTATTTCTGCATATGTGGTGGTCACACCGCAGTCAGGGGGCCAGTCACCTGCTCAGGGAGCCTTCCCCTGGCAGGGAGGACTGGCCGCCTCATCTCACTTCAAGCTGTTCCCCAAGTCCCCATCAGATGTCTGGGGTCAGTGCCCCGGACTCTACCCTCCCTGGTCCAAGCGTTTTGCACACACAGACGTGAAAGGAGGAGCTGTGTTCAACAAACACTGGAGGAAAGTACCTAATGGGGTTCGCAGGGGAAAGTGGGTGCCAGCCACACTCCAGCCCCGCCCTATCGCCGTCAGGAAAGATTGTCTTCAATCAAGTGTCAGAGGCAGCTCACTGCGCACTCTCACCCGGTGCCCAAGACCTGTCCCTCGGGAGAAAACAAAATTACATTCTCCCTGGAGCCCTACGCTGTCTATGTACAAACATTCACTCGGTTGGTGGAGGCCGGGGTGTGACCCAGTTGGAGGTTTCCTTGGGGTGAAGTTAAAGACTGTGCCGCACATCCCACCACCGGATTCCCCTTGGGGAGGCCAGGCAAGGCTGCGGGGGTGGGGAGTGGGGAGGACAAGTGGCCACGGGCTACCTAGGCAGGCAAGCCGCGGGGGAGGGGGAGAGGGGGGGAAGGGGGGAGGGGGGTGGGGAGGCGCACACCCCAACCGCCTTCCCTTCAGCTGGGCAAAGTCAAACCGCAGACCAATCGACGTCGCCAAAGTCCGGGCTGGGCTGCCCGCGTGGCCGGGGCTGAAGTGCACGCTTTAGGGATCGCTGAACCCCGCAATGTCCGAAATGTGCTGGAGGAAAGAGCTGGCAAAGGGAATGGCTGCAGAGAAGTTCCCTGCCCCAGGCCCAGAGACACCCTGAGGGGAATTGGGGAGGAAAGGTCCATTTGGGAGCGCAACTACACAGCCATCACCCCCCTCCCCCGCTGTCCCCACCCACTGCCCCTCCCCTCCGTCCTCGCGTCCGCGCTCGGCTCCACCTCCCCAGAGCGCAGTCCACACGGTCCTTTTCCATCAAAACAACACTACGCACCGCCTCCCGCACCCGCAGGGGCGAGACTACGCCCAGCCGGCAACCTTCGGGCCCGGGTCCGGGAGCGCGCTCCTTCCCCCGCCCCCTCCCCGCCGCAGACGGTCGGCGAGCCCGGCTGCACGCGGGTGGGGAGAGAGACGGGCCGGGCTCGGCGGCCCAGCTCTGCCCGGAGCCTCCGCTCCACCCGCGAGCCGCCCGAAGTGACAGGAGGGGCACGTACGGCGCGCGGGGCGGCCCGTGTTAACCGCTTCGCCGCCGGGCCGGCAGCCACGCGAGGGCGGGGACCCGGGGACTCACCGGAATAAGCACCCGCAGCGATCGCCGCTTCTGGCTGGGGTTTTTCTTGCCGCCGCTCCCGCCCGGGCTGGAAACATCTTTCTTCTTCTTGGTGTCCATGGCCGCGCTTCCCATAACTTTAACCAGAAGTTAATTCCGGGTGACTCGTTCCTGGAATACGGTCCTCTCCTTCCTAGCCCGGCCCCTGCCGTCGGCCTCGAGCCGCGCGCTCGTCCCTGCTGTCCTGCCCCCTGAAGACACCGCGTGGGGACCGGCACGGGGAGGGAGGGTGGAGCAGGTACCTCGCGCCGCCGCCCGCCGCCGCCACCTGGGAGGGATGGCGGTCGGCGCGAGCGCTGGGCTCGTTTCCTCTTCCTCCTACGGGCCCATCAGATGCCAAATCACAGCCACAGGCCGTCCTGGTTCTGGTCTCTCTCCGGGTTACGCGTGGCGGACGTCTCCAGCTGGGTGACAAAGTTTTCTTCCTTTTGCACAGCGAAGCAACACCCCCCCCCCCCCGCCCCGGCTCCTCCCCCCGATTCCCAGCGGGAATGGGAAAGGCAGGTGCAATTCACCCGGCGCTGGGGACAGAGCCTCCTCGGCCCGCACCCAAGTGGAGACTCCGGGGAGGGCGAGACCGTGTGTGTGTGAACGTGACCCTCGGCCGCGGAATCAGCAGCCCGAAGCCGGGACCGGGGCCGTCCTCCCGGCGCGAGGGAGGGAGGGAGGGAGGAGGAGGCGCAGCCGCGGGCTTTCGCGTGGGGCTCGGGCTCGGTTGCGAGCACAAGTTGCGGCGCCGGCCTCGCGGGGAGAGGGGGCGGCGTGCGGCTCGTCCCGCCGCGGTCCCGGGGGCGGCGAGAGGGGCGGCGCGGGCGGCGGGAGGCGGCGGGCGGCGGCGGGAGGCGGCGTGCGCCCAACAGGAAGTGCGCGCCATGCGCTTCGGCGCTGCCCCCGCGCCCCGTCGCGTGCCGGGCGGGCACGGGCTCCCTCCCCTGCGGCCGCGGCGGCGCGGGTCTCGCTGCTTTCTGACCGGTGTCGTGCGGCCCCGGCGTCTCTGTTGGTGCCTGAGCCCCTGGGACGCGCCCACGCGCCCTGGGCCCCGCAGACCGGCCGCAGCGGAAGCACCGGCTTTCGGTGGGATGCGCATCGCGGAGGCCGTGGTCTGCGGGCGGAACGCGCGGGGGGCGGTGGGGTTGCCGGGGCTGCGCTTTCCACAGCTGACCCCCCTGCCACCTGCTCTTTCAGGGTTGCCGGGAGTTACGCAGTGGGTCCGCGGCGAGTGTCCCGGTGCTACCGCAGCCCGGTGGCCCAGGAAACGCGGGGTCCTCAGGCTGCGGCAAGAAGTGGGTGCGGAGAGGTCTCCACGCGCCGCCACGGTCTTGGAAAGCCACCGCCTTTCCATTCTGCCAGCCTTGCCGAGGGCCGAGGGGGTGCTGAGGACGGTGGCCCCCAAAGTCACTCGAGCGCCCTGAATGCTGACGTCAGCTCTGCCGCGCCCCGCAATCAGTAAGGCGGGGAGGCCATCCAGAGAAAACGCGACACAGGTCGCTTTGGGAACGCCAGGGCGACCAGTGAGGGACACCCCTCAGGTGGCTCCCCCCGCCAGAAGCACCCTGTTCCAGCCATCTTTCCAGCTTCCCTTCCCAGCCCAGGTCCCATCGTCTTGTGTAGAATCCCCTACAGTCTGGGTGGCTCCTTGGTTCGCAGGGGGGTTTCAGGTGGATTTGTCCTCCTCCTGTCCTGCGCTCCAAACCAGCGCGAAGCCAGGCTGGGAAATGCGCCGGGTCCTGAGCAAAGCCTGGTGACGAAGTCCAATGCCCTGGAGAGGCGCGCGTCTGGGTGCCAGAACCAGGTGGCCGTGTGGGCCCCATCGCTGTGGAATTTCTTGCTTTGACTTTTTCTGATGCCTGTGTGTTGGGGGCATGTGGTGGCGGGTGCGTCCACGGGGGAGAGACAGAGACACACTATTCCATTAGGTGCCGGAAGCCCTGCTTAGGAGTAGAAAGTGGCTGGCCTTTAGCCTGTGCTGGGGTTTAAAGGAGGGACAGAGCCACCTTCACCACTCACGATTACTCCCCGAACTGTCGTTTAAGTTTCATGGCTTTAGCTTAGAAGTTTAATCCTGGTCACAGTGGTGACTTGCCAGGTGTGCGTATCACACCAATGGATGAGAACTGGTTTGAAAGGGAAGAGGGAGAGGTAGGGTGGCACAGGTCACAGGGAATCCAGGAGGAGCCGCTGGGAAGGGTCCCCTGGGGGTGGGCTGAGGCAGCCACTGTTTTACTTTCCCTGCTACACCCTTGCCCGGGGCCTGTCAGGTCTGGTAGAAGGGTGGGCCTGGCAATTGTTATAATACAGTATGTACTTTTGTCAGCTGACTTGTGTAAATGTGCCCACGCATTCATTAATAAAACTAATTTGTTCCCTGAGTTTATTTTGTTGGGGTGCGATTTTAGTGCCTGGAAATCCTAAATCAAAACATTTTACCAAATTGCCTGCATTTTTAGAGTCTTTTTTTTTTTTTTTGGTTCTACATGTTAATATTTTTGAAATATGGGTGTTTCTTATAGATGGTACCAAAAGAAGCTTACCAGCCACTTTTTCTTTCTGAAAGAGATTAATACATGGATCATATATCTTCCAACCAATGGAGTCTTACAAGGGAGGAACACAGTGTCTTGCTTTGGGGTTCCCTGTGAACCCCATCTTCACCTCCACCTCACAACCCACACAGTTATTTTAGCCAATAACTAAACATGGCATGCCCAAGCAACAGTGTCAATACAATGACCCCCACCATTGTTTTGGAATGCCCTGACCTGTGACTTCCTTCTCAAACATAATGCAATAAAATCTACCCTGACAAAATGTCAACATTTTAGTTAAAGACTGCATTGCTGATTTTGTTTTCTGCCTCAGGTTCCAATAGTGCTCAGCTCAGCATTGTTACTGATCCTGTCTTTATGGAAAAAAATATGATTTGGGAGAGTGTAAAATGAAGTTTATGTATAAATATTTATTTTTCTCCTCAAGAATGAAGCAGAGGCTCTTAGTGGTCACCAAATACCTATGTGATCCCCTCTACTCTTCAGTGCCCTGAATATACAATTAATTCTGGCCAATGAGATGTGAATAGACTCAGTGTGTTACTACTTCTGGGTCAAGCAGTGAAGAATTGATATGTCTCCTCATTTCCCTTTCCTCTGCTGCCGTGATCTTGGAGGCCATGTGCTCCACATGGCATTCAGTGAGAGAGAGGAGGGCAACTCCTACCACATCGTACTTGGGTTGGGTTACACCACTGAGATTTTGAAAATTATTTATTACAGCATAACCTTGCCTATAAGAAAAGTTACACTGAGCCCGGTCGGTGTGGCTCGGTGGTTGGGCATTGACTCATGAACCAGGAAATCACAGTCAAACCAGGAGATCATAGTTTGATTTCTGGTTGGAGCAAGTGCCCGAGTTGTGGGCTCAATCCACAGTGTGGGGAGGCAGCCGATGGATGATTCTCTCTCATCATTGATGTTTCTGTCTATCCCTTCCTCTCTGAAATCAATAAAAAGATATTTTTAAAAAAGGAATATTGTAATACTTTAAACGGTTTAAGCAATAAAACAAAATTTTTTTAAAAAGGAATATTGCACTGAGATAGTATTTATCTTGATAGCTGAGTTTTCTTGTGTTTCCTTCAATTTTATACCCAGGACAAGTGCCTCATTTGCCTCCCCTTGCTGTGTGGCTCTGTCCTGGTTGATGGAAGGGTGAGTAATAGAGGTGGGCCAGGGTTGTGGGCGGTCCTGGGAACCAGCATGCCCATGCTAGGAGTAGGACTCGAGTCCCACCCTGGCACTGCCACTGGTCTGCTGTGGGACCCATCTCTACGAGGAGTAAGATGGCCTGGAGAAGGTTTCCAAGGCCTGGGTAAGGGGGGCATGTGTTTTACCCTGGTTATATTTCGTCTGTCTTTGTGAATTTTACTGCTTTAGTAATCCCTTTTACACTGAACATTACAAAAGTTCATGAATTGAGAATTAAAAATACAGAAGCAAACAAAAGATCCCTGGATCATCAGAGGTGGTTTAGGACAGTGCCTCTCAGGAAAGATGTTTCCATTTGGAGCGCCATCTGTCTAGGCTGGCAATAATGAAATGCCAGACATCATATTAGGTTATTCATATTATCTTACCTCCTTTCTATGAACATACCCTACGAGAATTACCATAGACATTTTGCAGATAGGAAAACTAGGACCTAGTTGTTAGAGGGTTTATTCATATTCCTTTAACTTCTGTCCATTGATCTCAATTCACTATACCCCCTGAAAAGACATTTTTAAATATGCCCCCCCGCCCCTCCCCCCTGCCCTGTTGTAAAAGTGTTGCACAAGGCTAACAATACTATTTAGGAAAATCCTTTGGGGTTGCCTTTGACAAACTATTCAACATCCTTGCTGCCTTGGTCTCTGCTTGTGACATAGAACTGGGGGAGAACAGTGATCTGTGTAGTCAGGAAAGCAGTGGCTCCAATTCTGTGCAACAAGCAACTCTTAGAAAAATAAAACAAGAGTCTGGACTCAGTGCCTGGATAACTCGGACACGGAGCAAAGGGAGTGTTATCTAATCGTACAAACCAGGGCTAGGAGTCATTCCAGTTTTTATTTTCCTCTAAGTGGGCATAGATTGCATAACCCCGGGAGCTTTTGCTCCCTGGTGCACATGGAATGAGTAATATCGATCCCACAGCGACACGGAGGCAGGCGCTCAGGACCAGCAGGGAGGGCTGCCTTGGGATAGCCCGGCTCCTCACAGCTCTTTCCCAGGTCCCTGTGGATTTTCTGTGGGGCTGTGCCAGCCACCTCTTGTGTCTGTTCAGATTGCTCCCATCCATAACCACTAGGCCATCCTGATCATGGAATCCAAGAAGTACTTTGGATGAAGGTACGGTCACTCTGTGGCAATAATCTCCCAGGGGACACTGCTGTCGACACCGTTTCTCCAGAGGACCGCCGGGTGTGCTGACCAGCACAGCTCTGTGCTCACACACCCAGCTGTCCTGCAGAATGACAGGTTCGGCAAGCAGGGCATGACCCCCCCCCCCCCCCCCCCCCGACACTGCGCCTGGAGGTGTCTGTTTGCTGAATGAAAGAGGAGGCAACCTCAGCAATATGCTCCTTTCCTGGACTAAAGGTATTTAGTAGCCACGGCAACCGCATTTGGTGGGAATAGCCTTTGGTTCTGCCAACAGCAGCCTGCTTGATTGACAGTTTCCCGTGTGACCTTTGTCCTAATCCTAATGGTCTGGCATTACCTCCCCACCGGTTAAGGGTTCAGGCTCCCTAAGCTACAGGCTTTTGACTAAAGGTCTGTGTGTGTCGGTCCTCCACTCATTTCTGAACTTCGATCGCACTCCAAGCATACAGATGAACCCTGGGCAATTTAGAATACCGCCATGACCTGAATGTGGCTCAGGACGCATTTGTGACCTCTTGCTCCCC